AGGAGATGTGGAAAGTCATGAACTCCAGGGCAGTGACTGAGAGCCTGGTCTGTGAAAGTTCCATTGGCCTCTGTCTGTAATCTGCAACCTGTATCCACATCACAGACTGTAAGCATGGCAGTGAGGGTGTCAGGAAGAGCTCTCCCAAAGCTGAATATGGGTCCCACTTTCGGCTGTATTATTATTCTCATTGTTTCACTTCTATCTCTCTTGCTGGTAGTGTCCTTTGTGGCATTTAGCTGTGATGAGGTGGGCGGGTGAGCAGCCTCCTCCAGAATTGACGCCAGCTGGTTTGGAAGACTGGCAAACCCTCAACTCTCCCTCTATCTACAAAGTCAGAGATAGATTTTATTATCTGCTGGAGTGCAATGCCATGCCCAGCCTAGGCTCCAAAGGCCCAGGATGCAGTCATGTAACATAACCCGATTCACCATGGCATTTATTTTGATTTAGTCATAAGTTCAGGAATTGCTTTTTAACAACAACTACAAAAAGTGAGGGTCATCCACTTCTAATGCTGGAAACCTTGTGCTAATCTGTTCCATGCATTCAAATGAAAATATGACTTCTTGGCAGAGAATAGCATTATAATGTAAAATCCCATATGCTGTTATACAGTATGTTGCAATCTGTTTTACGGCTGCCTCTATTCTAACGAGTGAATACTGCCAATAAAGCAATTGAAGATAACACTAATTGCTTATTTCTGTGATCCATAATTTTTATGGCTGCCTTATAGCTCTTTAGTCAAATAGATGCTTTTTGGCCTTTAAGATCTAGAACTCGTGTACTGTAGCAGCCCAAACTAGAAATACACATGCTGGCCTGAGAGGCTTTTCTGTGCCTGGTGAATAGAGGGAAGCAGAAAAATAGGTGAAAGATGAAAAAGAAGCACACCAGTTTTAAGTCAGCTTTTGCAGATGAGCATTAGATTTGAACAATATTTGGGTAGTTTTAAACACATACATAAATATATGGCTGTGTATGAAACTGAAGCTGTCAGCTCTCCCTTGGCTTTCTTGAATTTGGAGAACACACAGTGAGAGCAATGGTGACCATGGAGATCACAGTTCTTCAGAGGTGGGGACTGGGCTTGATCCTAGGCTTCGCCTAGGGGACCCTTGGACTCATCAACACTGAGCTAATAAGTCTGAGTTTCAGAGTCAGATTCCTCTTTGAAATGGTGTAATGACTACATGGGCGTAAAGTGCTTTGCTTACAGTAAAGGGTTGCACACATGCTCATTGTTGCTCACACTGAAGGGTTACACACATGCTCATTGTGTGCTTGACCCTTACTTGAGGATACCCTGGCATGCTTTCTCATGGATACAGTCACTGAAACCTCAAATCAGTTATCTTTAAACTTATTCCATATTTTGTCTGTGGACCAGCCGCAGGGTCACCTGGGAGCTTATTGGAAGTGCAGGCTTTGGGCCCTTACCTAGGCTCTCTGATCATAATCTTTCTCCTCAAAATTTTTTGGTAATTAGTTTGCTCATGACAGACTGAGAAGTCTCGCAAATCTTAAGGGCAAGGATATTGGAATTTAGCAAAGGCACACGACTTATAAGAGGCCACACAGTGAGCCAGCATGAAAGGTGGGTCCTCACACCATAAATAATTCATGCAGTCCCACAAAATATGGAGGATTTTGTTAACATGTGACAAATATTAGAGACACAGCATCAACACATGGGCCATACATTTGTAGTTTAAAATAACACAACTCTAGAAAGTCTTGTTTCTTTTTTGTCAGGGCTTGAAAATGAAGTTCAGAGCAAAAAGCTAGTAGGTTAAAGCACAGAACTTAAACTGTATGCAGAAAATGTCAAACGCACCCACAGACTCCTATTCATGAAGTTCAGAAACTATATTCTTAAACTGCAGAATGAAGATACTCTGAAACTCAAGGTATGTGGGCAAAGACCACAGGAGCCTAGTATTAATTTTGCTTGTATCCAGCTTTCTAGCTATTACCATTGCCTTTGAAAGCAAAAGAGGCAAGGTCCCAGTGTTTTTCTCCTGTTCAAATAGGAGTATAAAAAGCAGCGAGTCCAAAGATGATAAGCCAAAAGGTCTCATTAGCAAGAGTATTAAAATGCTTACAATTCCCTTACGAGGTATAGACACAAGACACGGCTTTGAGAAATATGGCTATATTGGTTTCATCATTAAACCCACACACATCAACACTTATTGTATACTTGCTGTTGGAGAGTCTGGTATTTTTTATTACATTTACCAGTAACTGAACATGAATCATATATACATTATTTCATTTAATCTTAACCAAAATTCTGTGGGCTTCTATTATTTTTCTCATTTTATTTATAAATTTATCTGACTGATCTTAAAAACAAACACAGAAAAGCTCACCTGTGATACAAAATCAGCAAAATAAGAACATAGTGAAAAACTGAATTATGAAGATTTGAAAGGCATCTTCCCAATTAATGTTGTGACTTGGAAATGACATGTTTGATTCAATTCTTTAATAT